CAATTAAGTAATTTTGATTCGTAGTTACTTAATAAATGCAATAAAATTATGAATAATAAAAATTTTAAAAAATACATGGGCTGATGGTTGAATATTGTCTTATATAAGGCGGTCTTCATCAATGGTTTTGCTACCAAATGCATTGACCAATTGTTAATATAGATATATTTACCTTTTCGGCTAGTAACTTCTGATATGTGACAATAACATCGAGTGTATATAGCATTAATAAAACCCTTCGTCCAGTAACACGTGACATAAAAAATCACGCCGAGTGTATATAGCTACATAATGACCTTTTTTGGGTTAGCATCCTGTAACATTGACAATCACTCCAAGTGTAAACAGCTATACTAAACTTTTTTTGCTAGCAAGCCTTGGCAATCCATTAAATGCGTATACGTAAAAAAACGAATAACTGTTTATTTGAGAACACATATGAATTCCTCTGCCACAAAGTAAAATGAAATGGCCAATGCAGGGTACGTAAATGGTAGATACGGGTTTACAATTAATATATACACCACTATTGTTGTTAGTGGAATGTCACATAGCGTCTCCAGATTTCTGATTACTGTTTACAATGACGAATTGTCATGTATATAAAGACATCATTGATCATATGCACTTATCGAACTTCAACTAATTAACCATAACAATTCCTTTTATCAAAACACTTTAACGATATATATTGAAAGACAGCTTGAATATGGGACATACACTCGGGAACACTAGTTGTTATGGCAACACTCAACTTCATTGTCGGGGTACATTACAATTTATGAAATGTCAATCATCTTTCGCACGAAACAGAAGCCTCGTCCGCCGTCAAAATTAACTTACTATAGTAGTCATGGCAGAATTGAATAATTTACATTATGTATTTAAAGCGGAGCAGTGAGATGGCCGAGCATTTAAAAGTTAATTGGGTCTTATCACGTGACTTGTTGAAATGGTTGTACAGCTTCACGATCAATATACTCGTAGAAGCAAATATAATTGTATCAAAATGGTTCTTATGTAAATATTTTAAAGCTATACCTCTGTAATTCGATCGGTAAAAGTAAAACGAGTAAACTTGTGGGACATACGAGTAAAGTTGTGGGCGATACGCACGGTACAGATACTATTAAATATATTACAGTTCCTTGACACTTTGTAACGCTTTCTTCACAAATACCACGTAAACAAAATGTAATTGAACTAATTTTGGCTAAAAGACATCATCGAGTTTAGATAACAGTTCACTCTGCTCGATTCCATATAAATTAACGTATGAAATAGTTCAGAAAAAGAGAAATTTCCACTTTTTTTAATTTATGATTAAAACACTTCACGCTGGAATAATAAACAATGGTGCTTTTCGTCCTAAAGAGTGGTTATATTATAATCTTGAAACGGTAATGTACATGCTAGAGGTTGTATGTACGTGACATATACCACCTGAATCTATGGCAATAATAGTACATGTTATTATCGTAGAAATCGCACCATTTCACTAACATGCTGATATATGACCATTCGTAACTAATATCACTTGACATGTATTTTGCAATTGACCACAGAACAAACTATTCAAATCCTGTAATTTCCCTGGGGATGCAATCTGACATACATCGTGTGACACGTGACACGTATATTGATGAGATGCTTTTACTAAGCTTCAAAGACCATTTTGAACGGATGATTGATTACTTGTATGGCGTGAAGATGAACTCGAGAACTGTGGACTACCTGTTTCACGGGCACCTTTTCTGAAATGTAGGTAGCCTGGATTCTTGTAATCTTCGCGAACACACAGTTTGACACGAGAGTAAGATACTGTTAAACATGGAATTAAGTAACTGTTTCACGAGCATCATATTTTACATGTAAGCAGCTTGGATTCACGTAACTGATTTGTGGACACCATTTCTGACGTGACGCTTAGACTTGCGTTGTTTCCAGGGCACGATCTGTTGTTTGTCATTCGGGTAAGTACAATGAAACACGGCTCACGTAACTGTTCCATGAATACCATTTGTTTCTTGCTAGTATCACGGATTAACCAGACTGTTTCGCGGACACCATTCGCGGTTTGTGAATGCCATGGATTTACGTTGTATCACGGTCTTCTAGTAACCCTGGTTGTATCGATATGCTGCAATGACTGAACTTCTCGCTTGCGAAACACATACTTGTTACAAGCTACGCGAAAGGGTTTGTCGAAGGCGTAAATGAACGGACACAGGGTAGAAAATGAATAAGATAATTGCGTTGTCCAAAATAACGCATTTCCATGGCTACCGTTCGGATACAATACGCTGAGCACAATTACAACAAAAACCGGAGTCCAGAAAATTATCCAGGTTGTAAGAATAACGAAAAGTGTAATTGCAACGTTGACTTCACGTTTTGACAAAGCCACTGGTCTAGTCGACTGTGACGCCTCGGTGCCCGCCACGGCCGTTTCTAAAGTTAACGCGCGGATATGACGACGTTTTTCTCGCACTAGACACGCGATGCGAATATTGGTGAAAAGTACAATACACACTCCCGTTATGAAGAAAACTGTTGGCACAATAACCACTACGAGCGCCGGTTTATATCCTTCACAACCGGGTACTGAGTTGAAAAAACCCTCTCCGTTTGCCATGGCGACTACAGAAACCGTTAAGAAGATAACGATTGGCAGTAGCCAGATAGCGGTGATGGCTACTCCAACACGCTTAGTTGTGACTAAAGTGGTATAGATGAGCGGGTAAAATATGTGGACATATTTATGTAAACTCAAAAGAGCGGTGCTGCCGATGACGCTTAGAGTAAACATGATGGAGACTCCTGTCGACAACTGACACAACCACGGTGCTGGCCGGTGAACATATAACACGATATCTTTAGGCACGGCAACTACTCCGACCAGCAATCCCAGTATACTCAGATTTAACAGAAGCATGTAATGATTTTGTTGACGTAATGTACGATCAATTAAAATAACAATTGCTGTTACTGCGTTGACGATGATTGTCGTTGTGCACACAATTGTGAGGAATACAATCGTCACGTTTGTTATAACGTTCGGTTTATCGATGATGACATCTTGTAAAGTAGTGTTCCAAAACGGTGGTGTGGGATGGTGTGCCATTGAATAGGTGATTCTGTTCTGTGCTCTGCTTCTCTCTCACAGTAGCAGTATTCTCCCGTACGCATGCTCCCTTCGTAAAGTGACGTCCCTGTTGAGTATCAACTTAACAGCGCCCTCAGTCCAATCATTGGGTTCGTGAACAGTCTACGCAATACAGAGTACCCGCCATTTAAGACATCACTGGTTGGTTGGTTTATTCATTATTATACATAGCTACATATATATGACCTATTTGTCTATCAAATACAACGATGGAAGGGGGTATATTTCTTCTCACTGAGTGTGACAAATCAGACCCACACCATTGTGTTGATTTTTTTGAGTACTTGATATATGATTCCGCTTTGAAAAATGTAGTCCCTAATATTGGCTGAGTATACGTATCCCAGGTACCTTTATATCTTATGAACCTTGCTACATATACAAACCAGTATCCTGAACATATTGTTATTTAATCGACTGGAGTCTTTTGACAAATACAAATTTCACCAACGTTCCAGCAGAAAGCTCGTGATCACATGACTATGGTGATGTTGCCGGCACAAACTTCGTGGTACAGCAGATTTCGATGAGCGCCCCGAAACCGGTCTTACTCACATAACCTACCTATAATGCAACGCGGTAATGACGTCACTGTAAAAGCGCCCCCCTCCACCGAGCATCCTGTATCCGTTCCATGATGATTACAATGATATGCGTTTAGTGTTCTTGCCATACGTCACATGTGTGTATTTTATTTTGAGGAAATAACTAACTTTAACTCGCATTTATGATTTTCGTATCAAAATTAATCACGAAAACATGTGATTTTTACAGCACTTCTTTAATTGTTTGGGGGTATAAATTATAGGCATACAACTTGAACACCGTAAACTAGTGTCACTCTAATTGGTGATTGCAACTTTTAATAATTATATTTAAATATGAATATTTCTGAACTATATTAATTTCAAAATTATGGCCCATTAGAAAAAGTCGTTTAGCATTAACTTTGGACTCATAAAGCGACAATAGATTCGTATTGACACGTCAAATACTCCATTAGATTAATTAATTAATTAGTTAATTTTATACCAAGTAACTTTATTTACAGTATACTATATAATTTTTAAATATTTTTTAAAGGATCAATGATATCACATTATATAATAACATTGGAGAATAAAAGAAAAGTCTTGGTAAATGGTCTGACGTTGTCAATATTGATGAATGTTGGATCAGTATAACTGCCGGCAAGGCTCACCCGTCACTTTTGACGTTACGGGGGTGTGAATCGTCAAGGTCTTTACCATCATAATGTGAGGCAGCGTACGTCATGATAGCAGATTTGATGTGAACCAAACAAAACAAAACAATCGACTGCAATGCAATAAATAACAATAGCATGGGAGAACGATGATAACAAATTTAATTAAGTATTTGGAACGCGGTAATTGGTAGAACTTCAAAACGGGACTACTCAGTGGTGTGATTTTCAATAGGTTTATCAATCGATGATGATCGTTAATCGGTAAAGAATAATAACGGCATTGATTACCCACTCTCTGGGATAGAGGTTTGTGTTCAGTGAATGTCAGTAATTTAACCCAACTCTGTTTCACTCATTTGCCATCTCAGTTCTTCACACAATTTCCTTGATCACCGCGACGACGGAACTTCATCGAAACAGTATATTCTCATATGTTTGTTAGGTAACAGTGGGCCAATCATTCGTTTGAAACAGTGAATAGATACAATGCCTGTGAACTAGAGTCATTTTTGCACTTGGTTTCGGTATCTGTCTTGGGACTAGTGGTTATGAACTTGTCTCCACGTAATCAGTTGCCAAGTGGCTGCCGGGTAATACCCAGATGCAGATCCAATACGTTTTTTTTTTTTTGTTTTTTTGGCGGTCGCATAACTATAAAGTGCCGTCATACGTGGTTGATATTGTTTTAATTAACGTGGAGTTGGCTTTTCGAAATATGTATTTCTTGCACGCTGTGAAAAATGGATTATCATAAGTATAAATAAATGGGGAAACGGTTAAAAAAGAGTGAGATAACTGAAACACCCAAAAACGCAAGTCTCTGTCGACTATGTTCAAGTCGACTACATCTAGAATAACAACACTGAAATGGGAGTATAGCACGTGATCCACGCCAACATTGTCAAAATCGTCGTAGTGGTGACGTTAATTTCTCGCTTTGTAAGCACTGGAGGCGGTGCAGACGCTTCTCCGATGAGCAAGGCATG